TGTAAGGTTGCCAACCAGCTGGTTGGACAAATCCTTATTGACACTGGCAGCTCATCAGACATCATCAGCCTCCGGTGCCTGCAAAAGCTGAAATACAATGTCAGCAGCATGCATCCGGTCACCCACCCCCTGGTTGGTTTTGGGGCTGGGATGGTCTACCCAGCCGGGAGAATTGACTTACCCATCCGGCTGGGAGAGAAAGGTCAGGGACGACATATTGTCGTCAGATTCTTGGTCGTTGAGGAGTTGACCGCCTACAATATTATCCTTGGACGACCAACTCTCAACGAAGGCAAGGCGGTAATCATCCCGTCTCTCGTGCTCATCAAGTATGAGAGGGATGACGGCTCTGTTGGTTCCTTGAATGGGGATCAGAAGACGACCCAGGAGTGCTATCTCTCAGCCGTCAAAGATACTGTGGCCCCAGGCGGCCAGGAACCAATAGACCTTGACAATGTCAAGGATGCCAAGCCATCACCTGCCCCACCAACAGTCAGGAAGAAAAGAAAAGCACCTCTGCTGGTGGAGGTGAAGAAAGAGAAAAAATAGCAATCACTGACCGGTGAACGGTCAGACGAGCTCCGTCCCCAACCGGCTGGTGAAAACATTGATCTCGCTCTAGATGACAGCCGTCCAGAGCGTATTGTCAAGGTTGGGACGGTTTCTCATGCTACTTTAGGTGCAAGCTTGCATCTTCTACTGAAAGAATTCAAAGACATTTTTGCCTTTGAAGTGGAAGAGATGTCAGGCATCAGCCCGGATCTCGTCGTCCACAAACTCGCCGTGGACCCCAAAAAGAAGCCCATCCGGCAAAAGAAAAGAAACCACGGCGAGGAAAGAAGTCAGGCGGCAGCTGTCGAAGTCAAAAAGCTGCTAAGCGCTAGGTTCATTCGGCCTTGTAATTTCCCCGACTAGGTGGCCAATGTGGTCCTTGTTAAAAAACCGAATGGGACCTGGCGCATGTGTGTTGATTACACAGACCTCAACAAGGCGTGTCCAAAGGACAGTTACCCGCTTCCAAAGATCGACAGTCTGGTCGACTCCACAGCCGGTCACGCCTTGATGAGCTTTATGGATGCCTATTCCGGCTTCCATCAGATACCCCTCTGGAAGAAAGATCAAGAGAAGACGGCCTTCGTCACTGATTTGGGGTTATTATGTTATACGGTGATGTCGTTTGGCTTGAAAAATGCGCCTGCCACTTTTCAACGGATGATTAATACGGTCTTTATTAATCAAATTGGGAGAAATGTGGAGGCGTATATTGATGACATGATAGTCAAATCCAAGCGACAGGTAGATCACCTTGCTGATCTCCAAGAAACATTCACCACCCTCAGGTGGCATAAGGTCATGTTAATCCCAAGAAATGCATCTTTGGTGTTGAGTCTGGGAAGTTTCTCGGATTCCTGGTTGATCAAAGGGGGATAGAGGCTAACCCCGAAAAGATACAGACGGTGATTGACATGAATTCACCTCGTTCTGTCAAGGAAGTTCAGAGACTAACCAGTTGTCTGGCCGCCTTGGGGAGGTTCCTCAGCTAGTCAGGTGACAAATGCCTTTACTTCTTCTAAGCAATCAGGAAGAAGACTAGGTTTGAATGGGGGGATGATGCTGAGACGACATTCTAGAAGTTAAAAGAACATCTACATTCTTTACCCAGGCTGGTCAGTCCCTTGCCTAGGGAGACGTTGTACATGTATCTAGCCGTCTCAGATCATGCTCTCAGTGTCGTTCTCCTTGATGAGCGAGACGGCGTTCATCTCCCGGTTTACTTCATTAGCCATGTTCTCAAACATGCCGAACTCCGGTACCCCATGGTTGAAAATTTTGGCCTTGCTTTGTATATGGCATTAAAAAAGCTGAAGCCTTATTTTCTGGCACATCCGGTGGTGATTTACACTGACCAGCCACTCAAGCGGCCAATGTCTACCTGAAATGGGCTATTGAAATGCAAAGTCTTGAAATCACTTACGAACCAAGAAAGGCAGTGAAAGGTCAGGTGTTTTCCGACTTCATTGTTGAAATGACCCGTCCGGTGGCTCTGGATAATCTTGATCAGGTTTGGAAAGTGTATGTAGACGGGAGCTCTACAAAGAACGGCTGTGGTGCAGGTGTAATCTACGAGTCTCCAGAAGGGGACAGATTTGAGTATGCACTACGCTTCAAGTTTCAGGCCTCTGATAATGAGGCGGAATATGAAGCCCTGCTAGCCGGTATTCGTATGTGTAAGGCGGAAGGGGCCATGAAAATTGACGCCTACTCTGATTCACAATTGGTCGTTAGCCAGTATGAGGGAAAATATGAGGCAACTCATCCGGCTATGATCAAATATCTTTAGGCAGTCAAAGAAGAGGCTGAGGCACTTGAGGAATTCCGTCTGAATCAAGTGCCTAGGTCTGAAAACAACCAGGTGGATGCGTTGTCAAAATTGGCATCTTTCGCCTACCATGATGCGCCTCGGACAGTCTTTTGGGAAGTTCTTGAAAAAAGAAGCATTTATGAAGATCCCATTGGAATTTTGGATCGAATCTTTACCTGGATGGACGGCATCCGGGCCTATCTTTCAGACGGTACGCTTCCTGATTAGCCACAGGAGGCAGCCGTCCTGAAGAAGCGAGCTGCAAGCTTCGAGTTGAGAAACGAAGAACTCTTCAAGGCGGGGTTTCTGAAGCCCCTGTTGAAGTGTGTCACCCCAGAAAAGGGGAAGGAAGTTCTCGAAGACTTGCACGCGGGATTCTGCGCCTCCCACATAGGCGGCAGGTCCCTAGCCGTCAGAGCCAGACGACATTATTTTTGGCCTACTCTTGAGGCAGACGCCAAAGAGTTGGTGAAGAAATGTGACAAGTGCCAAAAATTTGGCAAACTTATTCACTGTCCGGCTACTGATCTGACGGCCAACCACAGCCCAATCCCGTTTGCAAAATGGGGCATGGACATTCTAGGTCCTTATACGCCTGCTCCAGGCGGAAAGCGCTACATCTTAGTGGATGTGGATTATTTCCCCAAGTGGGTGGAGGCTGAGGCGGTTAAGAACATCAAGACCTCAGACGTAATTTCCTTCATCTGGAAAAACATTATCACCCGGTATGGGGTACCTATGTCTATGGTATTCGATAATGGTCCTCAGTTTGAGACGCCTCAGCTCAAAACTTGGTTGGGAGATCAAGGGATCTCAAGCTGTTTTGTATCAGTCGTCCGACCCCAAGAAAACGGCCAAGTTGAAGCCTTCAACAAACTAATCTCAGACGGCATTAAAAAGAAAATTGAAAGAGCCGGTGGCTTGTGGGAAGAAGAGTTAATCCATGTCCTATGGGCCATCCGGACAACAGCAAAGGGGGCAACCGGTGAAACACCATTTCTCATGGTTTACGGTGCTGAAGCCGTCTTGCCCATTGAACATTACGAGCCGACTCTCAGAGTCATGCTATATGATGAATAGGCAAATTGGGAAGCAATGCGCCTGACATTATATTGGTATCACTCCCAGAACGCAGGGGCAATGCCGCCTTGCGTCATGAGATTTACCGTCTAAGAATGACTAGAGCCTACAACAAGAAAGTACACAAGCGTCCCTTGAAAGTTTACGACTTAGTGTTACGGAAAATGGAGGCAACCGGTAGGGCCATTGAGCTGGGAAAGCTAACTCCAAATTAGGAAGGCCCCTACCGGATCTATGAAGAAGTAAGAGACGACACCTACCGCCTGGAAACTCCAGACGGCAGGCACCTGCCTAGAACTTAGAATGTAGACAATTTGAAAAAGTACTACTTATGAGAATGTAAGTTTTTGTAAACAGTGAGTCAATTAATGAGAATTCAGACTTTGTTTGCAAAATTGTTTTGTTGTTCCACCTGGGTAATACTCAGACGGATTCTTCAGTTAACTAACTAAGTTTGATACTTAGTAAAGGTTATAACTGCTTGACCGCCTGGGTAATACTCAGACGGATCCTTTGTTTATTTAACTAGGTTTGATACTTGGTATGATTTGATAATTGTCTGTCCGTCTGGGTAATACCCAAACGGGCTTATTTTTTTAAAATAAAATAACTAAGTTCGACACTTAGTGTAAATTTAATGTTGTAACAATGACCCGATTAAAAACTAAGCACAAAAACGCTTAGTGGCTATACAACCGGTCTCAAACAAGATCAAAGGCTAAAATGGCCGGATGGTTGCTTATTTTATAAAACCGCCTGTCCCAATCTGGACAAAGGCGTCCGACGACACCCCTCCGGGTGCAATCGTCGCAGAGAACAGACTATTCGTCGGTTCTACGTACTTATGCAGACGACAAAAATTGAACGACCGAATTGGTCAACTCATAGCCGTCTAACCAGAATGATCTGTAAAGAACGACCAAGTTACCGATTACCGGATGCCCCTAGGCATCGGTCGGTCCCCGGCTGAAGTTCTCACAGGTTGTTTATTCCAAAGTTGCACTTTCTATCCCAATTGGGGCAAAAGAGTTGTGCAATGGCTGTGCAATCTCTACCAAGACGGGAAAAACCGTTTGGGTAGTGAATGGAACGCCTGTTGGTGTACGGCTGTGCACTTGGTTTGGGGCAATCACTACTGTGATTGATTGACTTACAAACGTATCATGCTCTTTGCAGCATAAGACGTTCCCAAGTCAATCAACCAACTCCATTTTAAACCAACCACATAGCCGTCCAGGGGCAAGGATAGCCGGCTTTTGATAAGTTAGGAAAAAAATCGCCGCTTGCTTTTGATAAGTTAGGAGAAAATCAGGCATATAAGCAAAAATGCAAAAATTGAAATCCAAAACCGACTCAGTCGGTGCATTCACTAAAAGTCCACCCAACCAAACGGTTGTAGTGGATCAAATGTTAACCGGACCCCGTCCGAAAGAAAAGAGAAATTGTTGATTAACCCGGCTCCTCAGCCGGTAAAAACAAGAATACTCGGCACACAGGCCGGAAAAGCAAAGCTAAAAAAAAAAAAAAAAAAAAGAGTTGGCATACTGCCGATGAAAAATCACTTATGGCCTGCAGGCGGCTCCTCCTGGTCCTCCTCATCATATGAGGGAATCTCTTGTGCTTCACCAGGACCAAGTAGCTCAGGCGCGGGAAGCTCAGTGTTGGCGCTAGCCCAGGCGTCGAAGGAATCAGGCTCTGGCTCACCTTTCTCTCTCAAGTACACCACGTCTTCGGCGTACCTGTGAGCCAGTGCCCAGATGCCATAATCCTGCTCTGGGTACAAGGCAACCCAGGCGATCTTCATGCGGACGTCATTGTCAACATCGCTCTCATCGACCAGGCAGTTTTGCTCCGCCTCCAGAGTCGCTACAAATTTTATCTGAGCCTGAGCAGCCTCCTTCTCCAGCTTCTTGACCTTGGTCTTCAGGAGGGTTTTCTCTTCAGAAGCACCTTGCAAAGTGCCAAAGTCGGCCTGGGCCTTCTTGAGCACCTCCCCAACCTTCTTGAGGCTCTCCTCCGCCTTTTTCTTGGCTTCCTCCGCCCCCTTCTGAGCCGTCTCAGCGTCGCTCACTCGCTGGTTGGCCGTTTTCAGATCGGCCTCCAGCTGTTGGATTTTTGATGCCTGTGTCATTATTATTGCTTTAGTTTCAAGTTCATTTACGATAGTGGAGTATAATGTAACATTATCAGCGTCTGTGGCGGACTTCTTGGCCCTTTTTACCTCTTCCCGTTTGCGGGAATAAGGACGCTTGAGCCCGTTTACAAAAAAGCATAAAGTTAGTATTGCAGGCGGAGTAAAGCACCTGGGAAACAGTTGTTAAGTATCTTACCTCAGCCAGAAGGGACAAGATGTGTTCCAGGTTGAACGTCTCTATCCCAGGGATAGCATTCTTGTCCTTCTTGCTCACCGCCTCCAGTATGGCTTTAGCATGCTTCTGGACGTCTGGCCAGCGGGGAGATTAATCTGCACCATAATCAATAGGTGATGAGTGCGAAATTAAGGCAGCACCTATCTGTTGCCGACCGTCTAAGGATGACGTCTGTTGGTAATGTGGGATTTTACTCGCAAAGGCCACCCCAACTCAGGCAGGGATTCAAAAGGGTTCTTACCTTCAGAGCCGGCCAAGCGGGAGCCGCTTGCAGGTGTGGTGAACCCCCCCCCCCCCCCCCGGTTGTTGATAAGGGGTTGACGAGGTCGAGGCACAAACTACCGCCTATCGTCTCGTTTCGCCCCCATATCCGCATCTGTTGGTTCCTGGCTGAGGCGCCAGGAGTTAAGGCGGAGGCGGATTTTTTGGTCTTATTAAGAGTGGAGATGGGTTCCTCCCTGGCCCATTTGAGGCTTTTCTCAAACGTCTTTCCTACCTCTCCCCCCTGTAAAAATAACCAAGTTAAAGTTAGCATCCGGAGAAAGTAATCTTTAAGGCCAATCTAAGAAAGGGTCAAGCGTTTTTTACCTTGGCCTTGACTGCGGCCCCATGCTTTTCCGCAAGCTCCTTTCGGATGTCGCAGAGGACCTCTTGGGTGTCTTCTCCGTCTGCAACATGCTTAAAGCTTCTTCTGTAAAAAAGAAAAAGATTGGTCAATATATCATCAATCAATTCTGATACAAAGGTACTACAGGCGGATGTAAACTCAGGCGCATACGTTTGGTAAACATGTTTCCCAGCCCGCAGGCGGCTAAGAAACACTCGTCCTTGAGCCAAGCGCTCTTGGGGATCCAGTTCTTGGGGACTTTTATTGTTTCCCCGGTTGACAAGGTCGCTTCTGTGAGGCCGAAAAAGTCTGCCTCAATGATTTTGTCAAAATCCTCATCCGGGATCCGAGGAAGAGCACACTTCCGGCCCATCAGGTCGGGCTTCTTATTGTACTGGCGGAACTCATAGTTCTCCCGCTTGCTGGGAGCCGACATCAGGTAGAACCTGTGCTTCCAGCCGTCAAATTTAGAGACATTGTCTAAGGTCATCATGTATTGGGGATACGTGGTTAAAGTGTACCACGCCCTCCAGCCGCCTGGGCTTCGGCTAAGATAATGCATCTTAGCAAAAGCTTCCCAGCCGGGATGGAGCCTTTGGAACTCACAGGCGGCAACATACCCCAAGATGTTTGCCCAAGAATTGGGGGTAAGTTGCCAGACTCCGAGGCCGTAGCCTCTCAAGATTGCCTTCACCGCCTGGTGAGGGGAAAGCGAAGACCGGCCTTGAACGCCGCCTCATAACAGCCGAAGTAGCTGTTGGCGTTCTGTTGATTGTCTTCCCAGTCGATTGTGCCGTCCTCAGGCGGCACTCTGATTTTATACCCGTCTCCTAACGGGTGCATTTGACTAAAACTCTTCAAATTCTCCTCCATTTGAACCATGTCCTTGGTTGAGACGTGAATTTTGAAGGGATCTTCCTTCTCGCTCCACTTCTTCCTCTCCTCCTCCTCACTGTCCTCAAGCGGTGGCAAGTCGTCACTGCTCTCAGAAGTGGAGGCGGAAGCTGTCACTTTCCGTCTCCCCCTCATTTTGTGATAAAGGGGCTGAGACGGCTTCATCGCCGTCTTGGTCGCATTCCTCCAAAAAGGAATCTGCGGGAGTCGAAGGAGCACGCGGAGGGGATCTCTCCAGAGTCGTCTGGTTTCTCTGACCAGGCGCATCTCCCTCAGGCATTTGGCCGCCTGAGCCCTCGCTTCGGTAATCCGAATCGACAACCGTTTGCATAGTCCGAGCCATTGTGTCCAGCACAGACACATAAATGGTCGGAATCCAAGCAAAAGGGTGGTCCTAACACCCTGAGACGACACTCCCAATCCTAGACTCAGCCGTCCCCGGTGACCGGCTGGATTCTAACCTAGGTTGTGCCGTGTGTGTTGGTGATGCATCCATTTATTGCAAGAAATATGTACAAGCGGTGAAACAAGAAAAAGAGCTGAGAGGGGCAGAGACGATACCTTTAGATTTGATATCTAGACGGGTCCGGCTGGGTTGACGAAGAACGAGTTGTCTCGCTTGCGCTTGACTCAAACGGATGACTTCTGCTCTCTCAAAGTTGACTCTCTTGAAAATTTTTGTAAACGTACAAAATGATGAGGGTAAACGGCTATATATAAAGGGTAAATGCGGGGGCATTCCCGTAATTTACTCGGAAGGCGAACGGTTACTCTTTGGTGGTAAAATTACCACCAACCGGAGCGTGACGCGTGCCACAGATGCCACGTGGCGTGCCACGTCACATCTGTGAGGGGCAAATGTTTAGGGTAATTTTACCCCGCCATGTGGTCCAATCAGAGGATGACACGTGTCAGCCCTAGGATGGCCCAAGGTGGACTATCCCTGATTGACACGTGTCACTCTAGAGACCTGGGAGGAATGGCGGCCTTCAGGCCCAAATCCCGAGAAAGCCGCAATGCGGCGCAGCCCACCAATGATTAGGGTTCAGTGACCTAATCAGGGGCACAAATCCCAAGGACCCTATAAATAGGGAGATTCCCCTCTTTTGGAGGGCACGTTTTACGTTTATCATTTATTACAAATTGTCCCTGTGATAGAGACATCTGAGCTTGGAATCCGAGCAGAGCCCACCTAAATTTTCGCTCCTTTTTCTCTCCCTTCAAGTTACTAACTTGTTCGTCGGAGGCGGAGCACCAACCAACTGGTGTCTCCGTTTGTTTTGCAGGTACAGCTTCCGCCGGATCAGTCTTCGTGTTGTAACTCTCCCGAGGGACAAAAACACCCAAAACAGTATCACTGTGGTTTTTTGCTTTTTAAAATCATATGATACATGTCATAGTAGTAATAAATAAGTAAAAAATAGTCAAACTTATTAAAATCATATTAATTTTAAAAACTAACAACTGGAAAAGTGAAAACACCTCTTTCTTGTTTCCTGTTTTTTATTTTTTTTTATTTAAAAAAAAAAACTGAAAACAAAAAACCAAAAATAATGCCAAACAAGTTAGTCACTTATTTTCATGACCTTAACAAATTCAACAAGTCACTTTTTCACGTGACCTTAACAAATACAGCTAAGAACGTCAATAGGTTCTTTAGTCATAACAACATACTTCCTCCGTTCTTTATTACTCGACCCGCTTTGACTTTTACACTATTCACCATCCCTCTGGCCGTCTTTTGTGAATAATATGTAAGGAAAAATATATTCATGTATAATTTTTTGGATTCGTTTCAATAAGTGCTATCATAATATATAACTTAGCTTTTATAATTTTTACTTATGGAGAATTTAAGTTATTGATCGTTAAAGTTTTGCATTGGCAAGCGTGATAAAAGAAACATGTCAAGTAAAAAAGAACAGAGGAAGTATATAGTTCACGGAAATTGTGTGTCTTAAATGTTATTGAGGGTGTCTTTAATGACAAAGTTATGTTAATATATTTTTAAAGCATGTTCATGTTAATATAATTTTAAAACATGTTCATGTCAATGTAGTTTATGATTTACTAATTTGCTTTATACTTTTTTTTTTTTTTTTTTTGTAAGAGCCCTTTCTCAAACAAGTTTCTCTTTCATAAATTTGCCCAAAAATATTTATATAATGTCATTAAACACACCTTATTTCAGTGAAAAACTAGCTTAGGCCCCGTGCCATGCACGGTAAGTGTAATTTGTTTTGTAAAAAATATTAGAACTAAGCAACTAACAAATAAAAGTGATGCTTTAAATTAATTTCTTTAATATCAATATTATGAATCAATTTTATTACCGAATATTACTTTTTTTTTTAGCAAAATCTTATATTTAATCTGTTTATTTGACAATTAAAAGGAGTTGGAATAATAATTTAGGTAAATGTATATGGAAGAATAATGAAAACCAAATAAAAAAATAAAAAAAATAAAAAAATTGAATGATATTATTATAATTGTATTAAATTTTTACAAAAAAAATAGTAAAAAAGGGAAGGGGGGTTTTGGAGGGAAAAAACAGCACCAGGAGTGTTTGGGGTAAAAATACCCTAAACACGTGGCCCAATGGCCTAGTGACACGTGGCATCCAGCCGTTGGTCAGCAGGGCTCCAATCCTCTGCTGACACGTGTCCTCTAAACCCTAAAAGGGAAACCATCCCTTCCCCACTATAAATAGTGGAAGGACCCTCATTAATGGGGGGCTGGAACATTTGTTGTTCACATTGAATACTCCTCAAAAAGAAAAACACTTACCCCGAGCAATATTAATTGCAGAATTCTCCCATTACGCGAGAAGTAACTTCTACATTACGTGCACTCTACCTCCCGTATCTTTACTAACTTGATCGTCGGAGGCGGAGCTCCTACCCCCAGGAGTCTTCGTGATTTTGCAGGCACAGGCGTCGAAGGGCATTCTTGGAATTGTAACTCTCCCGCAGGACACATCAAAAAACCCCGAAACAAGGAGTTTTGTAAAAATCATTTTAACTAACAAATAAAAGTGATGCTTTAAAGTCAAATTTTTGTATGTGGCTGGCCACATGGTGTGGCCAACCATAATTTCTATTATTTTTATTTTTTTAAATATCATAAGTCTTCTCACTCCTCTTTTCTTAACTTGTTCTCCAAGCCAAACTACACCATACATCACCAACAACATATCTCTACTCCACCCATTTTCTCAGCTTCTTCTTCAAGCCACACCACACACCACCAACAACCATATCCTTACTCTACCCATTATCTCTTTCCTCTTTGCCAAATTGCTGCAACTAAAGCTCGAAATTGTAGAAATTGGGTGTCAAATTGCTGTGAAAACTTACGATTAATTAACCTTAACATCATCAACAACATTTTAAGTAGTGAAATTGATGAGAACCGGAGAAATGTGAGCTTGTTTTCTTCGTGAAATCTTAGATCGAACATTCTTCGTCAAAAATTCAGCAACAAAAACAACAATAGTAATATGAGTAGATTGTAGAATATTTGTAGGGTGCGACTGGTTTGGTCAGGGGTTACTTGTAGGGTGTTACTGGTTTGATCAGGGGTTACTTGTATGGTATTACTGATTTTGGTCATGGGTTACTTGTATGGTGTTACTGGTTTGGTATAGGGCCTACAAGTAACCCTTGAATAAGTAACTCTTGAATTAACCCATACAAGTAACCCCTGAATAAGTAATCCATACAAGTAACCCCTGGAAAAAATTACAAGTAACCCTGAAAAATACAAGTAACCCTTGAATAAATAATCCATACCTACAAATAACCTCTGAAAAAAATACAAGTAACCCCGGAATAAGTAATCCATACAAGTAACCCTTGAAAAAAAAATACAAGTAACCCCTGAAAAATACAAGTCACCCTTGAATAAATAATCCACACTTACAAGTAACCTTTGAAAAAAAAAATACAAGTAACCCCGGAATAAGCAATCCATACAAGTAACCCCTGAAAAAAAAAATACAAGTAACCCCTGAAAAATACAAGTAACCCTTGAATAAATAATCCATACTTACAAGTAACCTTTGAAAAAAAAAATACAAGTAACCCTTGAAAAATACAAGTAACTCCGGAATAAGTAATCCATACAAGTAACCCCTGAAAAAAAATGTACAAGTAACCCCTGAAAAAAAAAATACAAGTAACCCCTGAAAAATACAAGTAACCCCTGAAAAATACAAGTAAATAGTAACCCCGTTATGCACGTCTAGGTCTATTATCTTCGCTGACTTGGCAGCAGGCCACAAGGTGTGACCTGCTACACCAAAAAAGCTTTGAATTTCTTTAATATCAATATTATGAATCAATTTTATTACAGAATATTACTTTTTTAGAAAAATCTAATATTACTCCGTTTATCAGATAATTAAAAAGGAGTTAGAATAATATTTTAGGTAATTGTATATGGAAGAATAATGAAAACCAAATTAAAAAAAATAAATAAATAAAAATAAATTGGAATGATATTATTATAATTGTATCAAATATTCACACCAAAAAAAAGGGGGGGTTAAAAAGGGAAGGGGGGTTTTTGGAGGGAAAAAACAGCACAGTATGTGACACGTGTCACTCCCGATGTCTGTTTTAGTATTAAGCTATTGATTGATTGATTGAGATTCTGTTTCATCTGCCTTTGCGACATTGGACCTCATGTCAGCCAGCCAATTAGCCAATGCAATGTAATGCTATTTTAGTCCAATAACTGAAAAAGGATTTGGTTCTCTTTAAGTGGCCATATAGTCTAATATTTGGTACGGCCCAATAACGGTCCACCTGTTTCTGGGATGTAAGCATGTAACTTGTATAGTTGTATGCAATGCATCAAATTGGGTCATAATAGTGCATAACTTTGTTTTCAATGGAAAGAAAGATAATCTGTTCTTTGCCAAAATAAATACAAGTCTACAAGTACAGTAAATATTACTCCACAATTCAACCCCTTATTTAGTTTAATTTTTATCAATGGTAAGGAAAATTACAATAATGCATGAGCTATTTTTTTCTACGCCTCTATAGTCAAAATTCTTCCACAACTACTTTGTAGTACGAGAAGATTACAATGAAGGTACTATAAATTACTATCTCCATTAATTTTTA